TGTAACTTTGCCCTTCAGCGGTTATCTGTGGTTTTCCTGCCTGTCAGTGGTTTTTTGTTTGTCTTGTTTTGTTTTTTGTCTTTTAGGATGCAAACCATAATGGCATTCTCTTGCAGGCACCTTCTCAGAAGAGATGACCCTGTTATGAGCTAATTATAGCTACATAATGGACACCAACCAATGGACTTTCCCAATATTAAACCTCTTTCTCTTTGATTTTTGAGACAGGCTCCATGTTTCCTACAGCGGCCTTAAACTCACTGCGTAGCACAGGATGACCTTGAACTTCTGAACTTTTACTAAAGGCTGGGATCAGGAAAGTGTGTGCTGGAGATCTAGAACCGGGTTTTCATACTGAAGGGACCAAGCAGACACCATAACAAGCTGCTCAGCCTTCTCTCAGAGATCAGGCCTCAATTTCAGTTTCCTGAGACTGAGCAAGCATTTTCTGAGAGGGTCATGAACAAAAGATAGTCACTGATGCCCCTGGGAGCAGGGACAGGGAGGGAGACAGGATGCACCAAGCCTGGGCCACTGAGCCAGCCCCCAGTCAGTACATGCTAGGCCAGCCAGCCTCCAAAGCAGCTCAAAGACAAAGCCTGGGACTTGTCCAGGCCTGCCCCAAAAATGGGTAACTGTAACCTCCAACTAACTCTAGCCAATTAAAAGTTACTGACATGATTGCCACTGGCATAAACCAATCCTGAGTCTATTCCTATGTAGTCTGTAGACCCCAAGACCCCCACCCCACCCCTTGCTTTACTCCCTATAAGTACCCTGCCCCCTTGCTAACTCGGGACCTCTCCTGCTCCGCTGCTGTGTCAGACAGATAGAGGCCTGGGTTAACTTGCAACAGCAAAAAGATTCTGCTTTTGCATTGGATTCGGTCTCTTGATGGTCTTTGGGGGACTATGGGTACAACAATACATGTTAGGCAAACAACTAAGCTACAGCCATTAGACCCGATTCCTTCCATTAATGAAATTGCTCTAACATTTGCTTTTCCCCCTAGCAACTTAATCCTACTGGTACAAATTAGTCAAGGGAAATTGGAAAAGTGAATATTAGGTTTGTATGAAGAAATAAAAGATGAGAATTTAGACAGCCTCCAACGATAGCAGACTTTATTCAAAGATAGGAGATGTGGCATCTCTAGTTCTAGACAGGACATAATCAGGGCACAGGACCCAGTCACTAAATGACCAGAGTTCAACTGAATGAAAATTACATGCTTCAAGATGGGGTTTCTGTAGCTACGGAGAATGGAGAAGCAAAGCTGGTTTCCTTAGGCAAGCTGGGTTTGAAATTGCAGGGTCTGTACTCTTATTCACTCCCCGGGTGTCTGGGCTTGGGGTCAGCACTCAAAACTTACTTCTGCTTCCGGGAACTCAGTTTAGGGCCTTAGCTTGGGGGAGCAGGGTTCCTTTAAGGAGGGTCTTGGGTAAACCATACACTACCTACCATACATTTAAAATAAATGAGCCTTTTGAGTGTCTGGTTTTAACTGTCCCAAACATATAGAGTGGAAATCAAGTACAATCTCACTTAAATTTCCAAGAGTAAAAACACTCAAGACTTCTACAATACTTACTTCAGGCATATAGTAAAGCATACCATATTATAGACTTATTTATTCTAATAGATATTGGTTCTAAGCTTTTATAAATTAAATGCTGAGTTAGACAGCCTCTGTGCATGTCTTCCTGACTAACCATGTCAAAAATTCCTATAGAATATCCAAGAGCTGTTAATATAAAATTCTCAAGTAAACTCTATGCTGCCCCATGCATTTCACTGACAGACAAAATGAGAGCTCACTGCTAAAGACAGCAACCAGCAGGACTATCAGGGTTTGCTTTGTGTTCCTGTCCATCTGGCTGCAGGTTGATTCTGGGACACTATTCTGCTGAGTCAGCTTTCAGCTTAAGAGTATGCTGTACCCTTACACTGGATTTTAAACTGCTTTGAAATGTATTATTTATTCACTGGGCCAAGTAGTGGCAGCATATCCCTTTAATCCCAGCACTCAGGAGGAAGAGGCAGGCAGATCTGAGTGCCAGGCCAGCATGGTCTACAGAGTGAGTTCTAAGACAGCCAGGCCTGTGACAGAGAAACCTTCTCTCTGAAAAGGGAGGAACTGGGACAGAGAAGGTTCTGGGGTTAAGAGCACTCACTGGCTGGCTGCTCTTGCAGGACCTGGGTTCGATTTCCAGCACCCAGATGGCACCTCACTACCGCCTGTTAACTCCCATTCAGTTCTAGGGACTCCGATGTCCTGTCTTCTGACCTCCGTCAGGAATGTAAATGGTGAACAGATGTACATTCAAGCAAAAACACTGGCACACATAAATTTAAAAAAGAAATTTATTAATTGGGAAAACAACCAACATTTAAATTTAAACATGAGTGTTTCAGTAACTTCCGTAATCAATCACTACAGTCCTGTGAAATATTACAATAAAAGGTCCGCTATAGCTATAGGCCTGGGCCCTGAACTTTTTCCATCCTATAATCACCTCCTGCTTTATAATTGTTTGACTTGGCAAAGTTCAGAAAGCACTGCTGGGGACAGCCTGCCTATCCTCATGAAGCCCGGGAAGACAAGCCAGTTTTGTATGATGGACTACAATCTCACTGCTTAGGCTTTCAGCAGTGAGGAGCAAAGTTTACCTGCAACCACATCATGAAGCATTTAAAGATAAGGCACTCTGATAGGACAGGAATCAGGCATACAAAACAGAAAAAGACCATGGACTTAAAATGCCTTACAAAATGATTGACAGACAAGTGAGTGCCAAACAAAGATTAATCCACTAAGAAAATATTACTCATATAGGGATACACAATATAGTCTCATTCCATACTGTGCCTAATTTTAGAACCAAATTGGGCTTTGGGAGCCAGTTGTAGTGGCAATAAGAAGTAGGTCACCAGGCAGACACAATTTATTTTAACTTTACATGCATGGGTGTTTCGCCAACATGTCTGCACATGTTTGCCCCATTCCCACCCCTACTTCCCCTGTTCCCCCGAATCTACTCCTGTTCAATTTCTGTTCAGGAAAAGCACAGGCTTCCCATGGCTGTCAACAAAGCACGGCATATCAAGTGGTAGTCAGACTAATCTCCTCCCTTTGTATTAAGGCTGGGCAAGGCAACCCAGTATAAGGAAGAGGGTCCCAAATGCCAGTGGGAGACAGCCCCTGCTCCCACTGTTAGGAGTCCCACAAAAGGACCAAGCTACACAACTGTCCCATATAGACAGAGGGCCTAAGTCAGTCCCATGCAGGCTCCCTAACTGTCAGTTCAGATGCTGTGAGCCCCTATGAGCCAGGTTAGTGAATTATGTGGGTTTTCTTGTGATGGCCTTGACCCCTCTGGCTTGTAGACTCCTTCCTTTCTTCAGCAGGATTCCCCGAGGTTGGCCTAATGTTATGCCTGTGGGTCTCTGCATCTGTTTCCATCAGTCGCTGGAGGAAGCCTCTCTGATGACAATTGAGCTAGGCACAGATCTACAAGTATAACAGAATATCATTAGGCATCATTAGATGGACATGTTTTTTCCTCCAGTTGTGTTTGGTGCTATCCTAGGTTCATGTAGCCTTTAGGTCCTGGCAGTGTTGGGGTGGGCTCTTGTGGCATGGATCTCTGGCTGTACCAGTCACTGGTTGGCCACTCCTACAAATCTGTGTCACCCTCACCCCATCCCATCCCATAGGCAGAACAGACTGTAGGTGGAAGGCTATGTGGCTGGGTTGGGTGTCTCAGTCCCTCCTCTGATAGTCTTGCCTGGTCACAGAAAGTAGCAAGTGCAGGCTACAGCTGGAGTCATCCTTTTAGATTCCTGTGAGGTTTCCTTGCACTAGATTTCTACCTGACCCTGACATGACCCCCTCCCCCGTTCCCAGTCAGCTTTCAGTACTCTCCCTCTCCTCCCCACCCCCACCTCGCCCCCCATATACCCATCCCAACTCACCCCCAGTCCATCCACAAAATATCTTCTATTTCCTTTTCCCAGGGAGATCCAAGTGTCCACACCTTGAGTCCTCCATGTTACTTAGCCTCTCTGGGTCTGTGGATTACACCATAGTTATTCTTTACTTGACAGCTAATATCCAACTGTCTTATACTATTACTACAATCTAAGATATAAGAATATTAGGAAACTTGCCAAGGTTATATAACTTGTTAAGTCTTAGAACACAAGCTTAAACCCAGTCCAACTAGAAGCCTACTGTGTATACTACATAGAAGCTCGATACTATTCCACCTCAAGTTCTTTTGGCTCTGATTGTTTAAAAACTAAAATTCCTGGGTATCCTGCATAATGGGCGTTAACAGCTTAGATGCAAGATTGTAAAACATCAGTAGCGAACTTCTGCCCTCCGGGGTTCTCCCATTGTGCTGTAAGCCTGTATTTAAGACCTCCTCCCTCCTTCAATAAATGGCATTCTGCATTGAATAAATAAGATAAAATAATAAAAAAAATAAAATTCAAGCAGTTGGCCACAAATTACAAAACAGTATTTTTAGATTTTGTATATGTCAAAATCTCAGCCTCAAGCCTTACCATAAAAGAATGCAGACATTTATCATTTATTGTACAACCATGATTTACAACATGAAGGTCCAGATCAGAAATGTGGTGTCAATCAGGTTATTCTCTCCTGAACACTAAATGTTTGTACTTCTTGAATTCCATCTTTAGTTTCTGAGGAAAAAAAAAAAAGGTGGGGGGGAAGATATTGTTCATAAGCTGTGTATACTTCCAAATGAATTCTCACATAAACATGTAAAGTGTAAAGCGAAGTGTCAGGTAAGGAATACATGGTCCATAACCTGTTTGTCATGCAAAATCATTTAATAAACCTAAACTCATAAAACTGCATAGTATTGAACAAGTAATTATATAAAGACTGGAAAGTGATGAGTTCAAAGCTGTCAACTTAAAAAATATACATATTAATTTAAGAGTAGAGATGGGGAGACTAGAGAAATGGTACATCTGAAGAGCACTGACTGCTCTTCCAAAGAGCCTAAGTTCAATTCCCAGCACCCACGTGGTGGCTCACAGCTGTCTGTAACTCCAGTTACAGGGAATCCAATGTCCTTTTCTGGCCTCTATGGGCACTGTATATACTTGTTACACAGGCATACAGGAGGGCAAATCAATATACATAGAATAAAAATTTTAAACTATCAAAACTCATTACCTAACAGAACTATACCAGTTATCAGTACTTTTTCTGTAGTGTTTAAGTTAGTAAGGATCAACGAGATTTATCTCCCATTATTACAAAGATCAAAACACAAGATGTTGATACTATCAAATTCCTTAAATCATGAATTCCCTGGGAGGAGAGGGCTAAAGGCAAGAAAGCAATGTTTAGCAGGCCGGATTCACTTTCAACGTTCGCCCCCACGTTAGTCTGCTCAGCACATGTGTGTAATCAGTGTGATCAGCTGAAACATGGACTTGACATGTACTTCATCACGGCAAACTGTGAATCACTGAGGAAGGGCAAACTACTTCAGCCAAGAAACTCTCAAAGGCCTTTGCAACCACTGAACTTCAGCCTCTAGTAACACTCCGTCCCTTATCCTTCATGGTAAAGATGGTTATTATAATATTTACCTCTGTTGCCAAGTGAATCCAGCCTCAGTCTAGGAATCCAACTTGAAATATCAGAACTACTTAACATCATGCCTGCAAAATAAAAACACAAAGGTTATACATTGCACTTACATAAATCACACCAAGATGTTCCACCGACCAAGTAAGTCGTGAGGAAATATGAGGCATTTACCCACCAACCCCACAGCTCCCCAGAGTTTTCATGAGTGTGAGCAGCAGGAAATATTAGATAGAAGGATTTATATTGCGGAGATAAAGAGATAGACAATAAAGGATAGCCTGAGAGGGCGCCCCCCCCCCGGTCTCTGCCCCAGGGTATTTATAAAGACGCCAAGGGGTGGAGCCAAAGACCTCCCCCCAGCACAGCCAAGTGCAGACCATCTCAGACACCTGCACTCAGGCCGGTGGTCCTAATCATCCTCCTCTATGCGGACCTGCTGGGTAAAGCCACGAGGAACCTGAAAACCGGCTCCCACAAGGAAACAGTAACTATCCATTTTCCATCTGCCTCACTATTCAGTGCCACCTGAAGCCAGCTGTGCTGGAACACACCTGTCACTGCAGCAAGTAGATGGAATATTTAAATCAAGCTTTGGGGCTCGGGAGATGGCTCAACAGTTAAGATCACTGGCTGCTCTTCCAGCTCCCAGGGACCACATGGTGACCCACAGCCATCTGTAATGGGATCTGATGCCCTCTTCTGGTGTGCCTGAAGACAGAGCACACACAAACATAAAATACATAAATAAATAAATCTTAAATCAAACTTTGGCCACACACCAAGTTTAAGGTCAGTTAGCTTGGGCTTCAAAGAAGGCCCTGCAAAATATAAATGTGTAAACAAAATCCTAAGCCAATATCAAATTGGGGCAGGGTTTGATGATAAACTCAGAATTTTAATTAAGATGGGGCTAGAGAGATGGTTCAAAAGTTAGGAGCGCTTGCTGCTATTCCAAAAGACCCGAGTTCTCCCAATGCTCACAGCAAGCAGCTCACAGGCAATCTGTAACGCCAGCTCCAGTGAGTTCAACTCTTCTGGCAGCACATGCATAGGTACCCACACATACATATAAAGTATTTTTTAATTTAGATAAAAATTACACACTAAGTCCAACCAATCTCTGAAAGGAAACAGCATGAAAAGCCAATTCATAAGGCTTTACTAAATAGAAAGTAACCCAAAATAGTTTTCAAATCCTATTTTAATTTTACTTGAACCAATCCTGATTGAATTTGACTGCCTTAAGAAAATCAACTTCCTTAGACATAGGAAAATTGTTTGGAGCCCCTGTTGACCATAAGATGGCAGTGTATGGAGGCTTTAATTTCCTTTTCCTTAAGAGCTTGTGATGAAAATAATCTCCAGACACTTTTCTATTCTTCACATAATTATGAACTAGAAAACTTCCACACTGTGTGCAATTAACATTAAACTCATTGTTAGGTTAGTGGTAGGCACCAAAATCGTGCTAGGGTGCAGAGCAAAGAAAAAAGGAGTAAATCTCCGGGTGTGGTGGCTCAGTGCAACCCAGCATTCAGAGCTCGGGGAGGCTTTCTGGCTTCCAGACCAGTTTCTCCCAGTCAGACCAAACAAAAAGAATTCCTTATTGAGGAAGGCTTCTGAACAAGAAGGTGTGTACTTAAATTGCATGTGTAATAAGTAAACACACACTGCAAGACCACTTAATTAAAATTAAGTTTCTTGTCAGGCCTATAATCCCAGCATTTACTTGGGAGGCAGAGGCAGGAGAATGAATGAATACAAGTTCCAGGCCAGCCTGGGCTCCCAAACAAGCCCCTATCTTAAAACTGTTCAGTCAAAGTAGTCACGATTTCCTTTGTTCAGTAACTGTATTGTAATCGTGGACAACACAATATGGAACACTTTCATCACTGCAGACAACTCTACTGGAAATCAGAACCAAAAGGGTTAATCTAACTAGTAAATTGACAGAAAAAAGCAATACTGCCTTTAAAGTTCCTACTATACATATAGCGAAGTGTGGTGGCAAACACCTGATCTCAACATACAGGAGGTGAATCAGGAATACAAGGCCAACCTGGACTACATAATCAGAAAAAAAAAAGTCACAATCCCATATCTACATAGAAATCTCTGCCTCCAATGAATTCCCTAAGTAAGGTATATAACACTTCTACCTAAACTCCATGCTGTTCACACTACTGTAAAACAGCCACAGTAGATGGTTTGCTTTAGATTGAGGAAATGGCACACTGGTTCTGTCGGTGAGAAACCAAAGTGGTTTTAAGGACCTAAGAGACATACACGTTCAAAGGGTCATGTTAGTCCTCCCATCACATAAACACGAGATATGTGAACACAGTAAGTTCCTACAGTTTGAACAATGTCTGCCTCAAAATTCTTTAATCCAAATGCTTTTTACATTGTTTGAAAGGGACAACCACTCTATCTCATAAAACCTGAATTCCAAGGGACCTTGTCTTTCCTGGTGTTAAATACTGCCCTCCACAATATGTGGTGCTTGATAGAGATCTAGTGGTCATGCTCGCTCTCTCTCTCTCTCTCTTTCACACACACACACATACATGGGATATACATGTTGAAACATATTCCCTAAGAATTTTATAAACATGCCATAATCAAAGACAATTGTGTGTTGTAGCTCATGCTTTCATCCAGCATTCAGGAGACAGAAA